CAAAGAAAACTCTAAGTCCAGAATTATTCTAAGCATTTAAGGAAGAGAACAGGAAACTGTTATGTGATACCTGAGTAACTTTAACAATACATCCTGGTAAAACTATGTAAGATATACGGATACAAAAATGCTAAACACAGTTTTAGCAAATTAAATCCAGTAGCATATTTTTTAAAAGGCTAATATATAATGACCAAGTAAGGTTTATTGCAGGAATGCAAGGCTGTTTTAGCATTTGAAAATCAATTGATGTAATTAACAACATTTTAAAATTGAAAAACCAAATAGCATATGATCATCTGAATAGGTAAAGGAAAAACATTTTATAAAAACCAACACATTTTTTAGGGTCTATCTGACAGAGAACAAAAGGCAACTTCTTTGATCTATTTAGACTTTCCATAAATTTGATAGAGAAATATTGAAAATGTTCATTTTGAGATTGAAAAAGACAGGGTGCTCATATCTCATTTGTATTCTGCACTGTGGTGGAAGCCCTATCAAGTTTAATGAAACAAACAAAAAGATGCACAATATCTCATGACTGGAAAAAAAAAATCCTATCCGTATTTGAAAGCAACATGACTGTGAAAATCAAAAAATAACTACTGATAAACTCTGAGAATTATTAAATAAATCTAAGAACCCCCTGAATACTAGATTAATTTAAAAATTCAATTGTGTATATGAATCTAACAACAAACATTAGAAAACGAACTTTGAAAAAGGTACCATTTATAATAATAACAAGAAACATCAATTATCTAGAAATAAATCTGAACAAAGACATGCAAATCTTTATATAAAAATTACTGAGAGAAATGTAAGAAAGCCAAAATAGTTAAAATGATATATTTTATTCATGTATACAAAGCTTCAATATTGAAAATAAGTACATTTTATTCTAATTTATCTGTAAATTAATGCAATTCAACTGAAATGCCAATAGGTAAGTTTTGCAGAAATTGATAATTTGATTCCTAAGTTCAAGTGGCAATGTCAAAAGGCAAAAGTGTCATCTCAGAAAACATCAGTAAAATGTGTTGGCAAGATGTAAAGCAACTAGAATTGCTGATTGGGGTGCAAATTGATACCGCTGCTTTGGGAAACTGCGTGGTACTATGTCCCAACAATTCTACAGAAAGGCAAACAAGTATTTTTAGCAGCAAAATTTATCATAGCCCCAAACTGGAAAAAAACCCGTGTCTATTAGTAGAAGTATGAATAAGTACATTGTGATACATTAATATAATTTTTAAATGAACTAAATACAACACGAAGAATCTCGCAAACATACTGCTGCACCAGAGATGACAAATGCAATGGTATGTACTGTCCAACTCCATTCATATAAAACTGAAAAACAGAAAAGCTAATTTGTGGTGGTAGAGGGGCTAATAGTAGTTATATCTTGGAGAGAGGTGTTGTTGTGAGGAGAAGCAAGAGTGATTCTGGGATGCTGGTAATATTTGTTTTTTTAAAAAAATCTTAAATTATAAACATATGATGTATGTAACTTCCTGGGTAATTAAACATCAACAAAAACATTTCTTTTTTTCTTTCTTTTTCTCTTTCCTTTCTTTCTTTCATTCTTATTTATTTATTTATTTAGAGACGGAGTCTTACTCTATGGTCCAGGCTGGAGTGCAGTGGTGTGAGACTGGCTCACTGCAGCCTCCACCTCCTGAGTTCAAGATATTCTCCTAACTCAGCCTCCCTAGAAGCTGGGACCACAGGTGCACACCACCACGCCTGGCTGATTTTTGTATTTTTTAGTAAAGACAGGGTTTCACCATGTTGTCCAGGCTAATCTCAGACTCCTGGTCTCAAGTGACCCACCCACCTCGGTTTCCCAAAGTACTGGGATTACAGGCATGAGCCACCACACCTGGCCCTAAATATTTCTTTTTTTCTTTTTTCTTTTTGAGATGGAGTCTTGCTTTGTCACCCAGGCTGGAGTGCAATGGCACAATCTTGGCTCTTGGCTCTTGGCTCACTGCAACATCTGCCTCCCAGCTTCAACCTATTCTCCTGCCTCAGCCTCCTGAGCAGCTGAGATTTGCCACCATGCTAGGCTAATTTTTGTATTTTTAGTAGAGACAGGGTTTCACCATGTTGGCCAGCCTGCAACATTTCTTTAAACATGCAAAACTAACCAGGAAAATTCTGAATAATGTAGGGTGTAAGAACAGTCTAGACGATGAAATATTATAACGTATTATGGATCCACATTAATTTAAAAGGGTGTGGTATTGGTAGCAGAATAGAAAATGGGAAAAAAGAGAAGGTTAAAAAATGGACGTAAATGGCAAAATAAAACTTTTGTACTATGTACATGAACACAGTTACTTGTAATGTTGGGAAGTGTTAGATTTCAATAAGTTGAGTGAGTAAATCAAGTTAAAATCCTAGGTTATTCAAAGAAAGCAAATCACTAAAACAAGTACTTAAAATTATGGGCCTCCATGCAAAATGTGAAGCAAAGATTCCCATCATATCTCAATAACAAATAGAAAAAACAAAATGACTTTTTCCATACATTTCTTTCTTTAAGATGATAAGTAGACTAAAATTGGATGATGAAGTAAGTAGGACAAAGGATAACAGACTTTCTTATTATCTGAAAAGAGACAAAATTTGACCACATGCCCTTTTGTTTATAATCTGGAGTGAAAAAGTGTCTGTTTTGTTTTGTTCATTTAACTAATACAGGACTGTAAAAGAGTAATGACAGAACCCCACTTCAAATTAAAAAGTGATTTCTTGATCTCTTCAATGCAAAACTCCAAGGGTAAATTTTGTTTTGGGAGAGATTGAATACAGAAGATTAAATAGTGTTATCAGGAACTAGCTTCTCTTTCAGGCAGCCATTTCTTCTGTGATCCCAAGATGGCTTCCAGCAGCTTCCTGGCCAGACTCTTTCTGATTTCTCATCCTGTGAAAAGGTGGGGGTCTTTGTCTCAGCATTCCCTGCATTAAATTTGATGAATTCAAATGGAATTTTTTTTGGCCCAAACATGTCACACTCATTTCTGAACCAAACATGCTGCTTAAAGAAATGTATCAATTTGAGTGGTTTAGTTCCATATTTGAGCTAGGGAGGCATGAACACATGGGCTGAGAGTAGGGAATGAAGTAGGCACCCCAGAGGGAAATTGGGGTAAGTCCACTAAAAAGAGGCTGAATGGATTCCAGGTGGCAAAATGTTCACTCTAGGGTAATACAGTTGGGATGGTGATAGAAGAAAGAGAGGCAGTATAAGTTAACTTTGGCATTTGTTTACTGATAAAAACTAAATAGCTACGAAGGACTGAATGTTTTTGTTCTCTAAAAATTTGTATGTTGGAGTGCTAATCTCCATCGTAATGATATTTGGAGGTGAGGCTTTTGTGAGGGAGTTAGATCATGATGATAGAACGCTCAGAAATTGGATGGTACCCTTAGACGAAGAAACACAAAGTGATGCTCTCTCTCTCCTCGGTGTGAGAATATAGCAAGTAGATGGCCTTTGCAAACCAGGAAGAGGACTCTCAACGACACCAAATCAGCTTGTATATTGATTGTAGATTTCCCAGCCTCAAGAACCATGAGAAATAAATTTCTGTTGTTTAAGCCATTCGGTTTACAGTATTTCATTTCACCAGCCTGAGGCGATTAAGACAACAGCCAAATCTTGCTTTTTGAAAAAGTAAAGATATAATGAGGCAGAAAAATGTTCCCTGTCCCCTATATTCTTCCTGATGTTTTCAGATTTTCTGTGGTTATTTTGGTGACAATGTTTGTTTCCATGAGCCAGCCTGGAATGTAAAGCAAGCACTCAGGATAATTGATGATGGCTGCTCCTGCAGAAAAAAACTATCTTGTACCGAAGGGGCTGTTTCTTTTTTAATCCTTTCTTTCTGTTACTGGTTTTAAATAATGTTTCTGACAAGATTCTACTTTTCTTTCTGTTAACTGTCAGTGAACAGTATTGGGCATTATTTGTGGGGCTGTAAATACATTACATGAAAAAATAATGAGTCCTTAAAAAGTTAAGAGAAATGCCTCCAGAGGTATTTACCTAACATCGTGATTTATGTTGGTCCAGGAATGAAGTTTCAGAAACTTCCAAATGAAAAGTCTGAAACATTAAATAAAGTCTCTTCCAAATCTGCCTTTCTTGTAGTCCCTGGACACATTTCCCTTTTACTTTTAATCTGAAAGTTGGAGAACGGTTTTCATGTTCAACTTAAATTGTTTAGTTAATGGTCTAAGAATAACTCTTGGGAACATCCCTCATCATAGCATGTTATTACTCTATTCTTCTGACTGAATTTGATGTATCTATTGTGTTCTTGCTGCAAAAACTGATTTCTGGGATTAATCATTTTCTTTTTAGCAGCTAAAAATTGTAGACATTTAATGGATATACCTACATCAGTCAATTTAATGAGTTTCATTGTCTGAGGTTTGAAATATACCAATCACTCTAATGTTAAAATATAATTGACATTCATCCGTATTTCAAGTTTCTAAGTTTTCCAACTTTGTCTCTCCTGCCTGCCTAAGAAGGGTAATTTAGTTTAAGCTTTAAAAACAAATTGTTTGGTGCCTAGGAAGTCAAGTGGATCTACAGCGTAATCTGCAAAGGGTTAAATAACCTTTGTGTCATTTACTACAGTATACCTTCAGCAAATCACTTAGCTTCAGTTTCTTTAACAGGACTATTTTGTCATATTAGCAGGCATTGTTCCATGGAAGGATCATGCTGCTTAATATTACCCAGGGGTGTCTCTGGCAGCCTTAAGTTGGAAAGAATGGGATGTTGATGTGGCTGTGGCACCTGTCCCTGGGTCAAGAGCCAGGGTCTCCATCCTCCTCCAGAGGCTAAGCACAAGGCCAGAGGGGTGGCCTTCCAGTTAAAGGAGACCCAGCCAGTTGTCAAATACAGCTACAAGAAAATAAGTGCACTGAAACCTGAGTTATAATTAATGTTTTTTTGTTTTATGTTTTTGTTTCAGTTGTTTGAATTTATGAACTTTTTGGCAGAGAACGTCATCTTCTGTTACATGGGCCTGGCACTGTTCACATTCCAGAATCATATCTTTAATGCCCTTTTTATACTTGGAGCCTTTGTATCCTTTTTAATACAGAACATGGGGTGATTAGAGAAGATAACAAATGACTTACTTTTACTGATTATTCTGTTAAATCATTAAAGCAATTTCCTAAAGTCCACTGCTAGTCTCAGACACAAGGCAGATATGTGATTTCTAGTTAGGGGAAAAAAATATCCTAAGAAATTAGGACCTCTATTGCATAATTATGGTTCAGGATAAGAACTTTGGAAATAACTATGGAAATGTGGTGGGGGGGGGACTAAAGGAAATTATATTTTTCAAGCATTCAAAATATGTTTAACTATAATTATGAATCATTTACATAAAAATTATGTCAGTGTATTCTTTATAGAGAAACAGACTTTAATCTGCATTAGGGTATATCAAGAAGCATCCAGGATTATTCAGCTTCGGAAATGTTTTCATTGCAAGATGATAAAATCTTTTTTCCAATGAAGACTTCAAAAACAGGACAGAAAATCAGATGAAATTAGCTTGATGTATGTGTTTTCAGCAGCATAAGCATTGTTCAAATGTAGGCTTGTTTGAATAAGATAGCACCCTTCCTTTCCTATGAAGACAGATAAAATCTAGACCTCACTTTTAATGCAGAGGATTTTCCTAGCTCTAGGCCTGGAACAGGAGGTATTTCCACTGGGAATGGTTATCTATTCAAAAGGATGTTTAGCCATTAGGAATGTCCCCAAAGACAGTCAGCAACTGTTGTACTTCTTCCCACTTGGGAGATGGGCAGATGCCACCTTGGACACAGATAGTCCTAACAGCCAGGAGAGGCAATCCCTCTCTTTAAATTGTGTTCCAGTTAAACATCTGCATTTGCTTCTTAGCCTCTTTTCATTGAGTATCCAGCTGAACCCTAAAAATTTCATCTAAAACCTGTAATTTAAAAGGAAGCTATCTCTTCCTAAATAACTCCGTCCCATTGAGGACAAACCTGAATAGCCCATCTGGGAAGGAGTCAAAGACAACAAAAAGGGAAAGATGAACAGCACCAATATTTTCAAAGATTTTTATTTATAAAACTTTGATTTTTAGTAAATTGCCATGGAAAGCAACAGTTATGTAATTAGACAGGTAATTCCTCTCAAAATTAATTCATCAAAAGAAAAAGGTATGCAAAGCTTGCTAGATATAGGGAATATAAACTGGTAAGAAGCAAGATGGTAAACATGAACAGAATCACATTTATACGTTCTAAATTGCCATTTGGGAGGATAATCCCACAGTATCTGAACGGTCTCTACCTCACATTTTACAGCAGAATTGAGGATAGTCAGTCATCAGCAATATAAATGTGATTAGAAAATTTACAGTGATTGAAATGGCGTTGGGCTAACAATTTTAAAGCAAGTATCAAAGAAAGGCAGAGTTCTCTATTATTTCTGGAAATAAATTGGCATTGAAATACAAATTTTGGAAGCAAACTGGACAAATGTGAATTGATATGTTTATTTCTGGTTTTTTGGGTCATAATGCAGAGAAGCTTAAGGACATAATATTCAAGCTCAAGATTCAGCCATCATTGCAGCAATATTTTCCTCAATGTTTCCCTGTGCTTATCTATAGCTAGCAATTTTTGTTGCCAGAGCCTGCAACATTTATCCCCTCTCCTTCCTCCTGAATCTGGGCCGAAAACAGAAGATCCCCTGGAACTTTCAGCATATGATGATGTTTTCAGGTATGTGAACTATATTATGTGTTCGTGCTGCTGGTTCTCTCACACTTTTACAGAACGTGAGAAATCTTGAGGAGATTTAGAACCCTTGTGGGGACACAACTTTTCTTTACCCCGTTGTACCTAATACCATGCTGATTCTCCGTAAGTTCTGAGGAAGAGCAGGATTTCTCTTTCGAAGTGGTGGCAAATGAAATTAAAGGGAATCTTGTTAGTATAGCTTCAAGGTATCATATTTGGTCAGAAACTGGCCTAGAATGGACATTAGACTTTCCCCTGATCCAGTTCAGATCATACTGAAAAATTTGAATTTTAATTTCATAAATTGTATGCTCACGGTAAATAGCGTGTAAATGGTGCAATTCTTATCCAATGTCCCTTATCCAGTGTTCCCTCTCCATAAAATCCCTGCTCCTTCCTTATGCAAATCCCCAGAAACTCCCCTCAGTTAATACAAAAGCAAATCAGGCCTAAGTATGCTCCGTTGTTAGTTGAGAAAACAAATATTAATTGAGCACTCACCAGGTGCCTGAAATGAATTCTGCACAAGGATTGATGAAACTGACAAGGTCTCTGTTCTCAAGACATTTGTGTCCTAATTACTTACGCCACACCTCAAGGCTCCTTTTCAAAAGAAAATAAACCAAATGAATTTTCCGACCTTGAAAAACTCTGGGGATTATGGTTTCTCTTTAGTCAATTAATTTTCCTACCTTCAGTCTTTCCCTGTTCAGAGACCTTTTGCGGAGATCCTTACATGATTCCTATGTAGCTGTACACTTACAGTATACTCAGAGGCAGTTATTGGCGCATACGTGAGAGTTTACAAAAAAACTTGCTATCAACATTAACAAATACAATTTACAGTACATAGGGGCATATAGAAAATGTGAGCGAAATGAACATTTATCAATACTTGCTATTTGCCACTCACTATATTTTAATTAATCCTGTGAAGTAAATATTAACACATTTTGTAGATGAAGAAACTGAGGTTCAGGATCTCAAAAAGGTTATGAAACTTGGCCAAGAACAGAAGTATTCTTGAACCCAGGTCTGTGAGATTCCACCTAAACCCAACCAAGTGTCTCAAAATCCACATTTCTGAAAGCAATAAAAAGCTTGTTTGCCTTCAGTGCCATTCTAGCCTGGTCCGTATGGTACAAGGGGCAGCTCCCAAGCTGAGAGTGAGTCATTGATTCAAAGACAAATGGAGATCCAAAGTTAAATTTGCCCTTCTGAACGCCTCTGACAGTACTTCCTAACATTTCCAGACATGTTAGGGTAAGAGAGAGAGGAAGTTGGAGAAGGAAGGTGAGAAGTTGGAGGGGTAGGTGATTTTTGACTTAGAACAGTAATAAACTTTGACAATGGGTTGACTTTTATTATGAGAAAGCAAAAGGTAAATTTGAGCACTCATAAATAGGAAGCCAGCATTGGGTTGTATTTTTTCAAAACATTTCTGGGAGTTGGAAAGCACTTTTCCTTTTTTCCCATCAAAACATCAGTAACTTTACTCTGGAGAATAGCAGCTTATTTTCAAAGCCTCAATATTATATTTTAAACATTGCTTTATTTAACAAAGAATGCTTTGAGAAAAATGTAAGGCCTTAGATAATCATGTTAGGATGTGAAGTGTCTGGCCAAATGGCCACCTGGCTTGATGGTTTCTCCAGGCTCTGGAACTAAGTTTGTTTAGCTGTAGGGTTGGAACTGCATTAAAAACTGGTAGAGGCCAATAATATGATGTGTACAGCCAGGGGATAGGAGAATGTCCAGAATTTATCTGTATGATATTCTAAAGCCAGGAGTCAGCAAACTATAACCCTTGAATCAAGTCTGGTCCATGGCTATGTTGTTAATATTATTAAGATGGAACTCAGCCCAGCCCCTCTGTTTACTTATTGTCTATGGCTGTTTTTGCACCACAGTGGCAGAGTTGTGAACCAAATGTAATCATATGGTTCATAAAACCTAAAATATTACTATCTGGCCTTGTTCCAAAGCATCCTTACTCTGGAAGAAAAACAATAACCCTATCATAATAGGGTTGAAATTATTAGTTTAATTCATGAGAATGCCAGTCAGCTAGTTCCCATCATTTAAAAGACCACCATGCCAAGTTTTCAGGACAACTGCCTACATACAACTCTGATGTCAGAGAATGTCACCCATATTCTTCCATATTGAGCATCCATGTCATCTGCTGGTGTTAGAGCTTAGCAGCTTGAACTCAAGTGTGCAATCATCTTGGGCCAATGTGCACTTCTTTTATGCATTTGACTAGATTTTTGTTTTATATAATTTTTACATTGAAATGAATCTGAGCATCAGAGAGATTGAGTTTCTTTTTTATATTTCTAATGTCATTTTTATTAAAAGTTAATATTGATAGTACTATTTTACATGGTGGAAAGAACACTGAATTTTTTACTAAAACGCTGTTTTCTTAGCTTTCGAATGAAGAGATAGCAATGTTACATAGTTATGTAATGGAATCATTGATGCCATGCTCAAAAGTCACTTTATATCTTCCTAAGGCCTTTCATAGGCACTGTTTTGAGACCATAGCCACAGCAAGATAGGGTAGGTATTATTGGTCTATCTTTTGTTCATTGTTTTTTTTATTATGGTAAAATACACATAACATAAAATTTCTCATAACCATTTTTAAGAGTAGAGTTCAGTGTTATAAATACATTCATAATGTGCGACCATCACCACCATCCATCTCCATAATTCTTTTCATCTTGTAAAACTGAAACTCTGTACCCACTGAACAGTTCATTTCGCCTCCTCCCAGTTCCTGGCAGCCACCATTCTTTCTGTCTCTATGATTTTTACTACTTTAGGAGCTTCATATAAGTGGAATCATATAGAACTTGACTTTTTGTGATTGGTTTATTTCACTTAGCATGATATCCTCAAGGTTCATTCATGTTGTAGCATATTATAAAATTTCCTTTCTTTTTAAGGCTGAATAATATTCATTGCATGTATATATCACATTTTACTGATCTGTTCATCTGTCAATGGACACTTGGGTTCCTTTCACATTTTAGCTGTTGTGAACAATGCTGCTGTACACATGGGTACGCAAACACCTCTTCAAAACCTGGCTGTGAATTCTTTTCAATATATACCCAGAAGTAGAATTGCTGGCATTTTTAGAGTAATAGTAATTTTATTTTTAATGTTTTGAGAAACTGCCATACTATGTTTTCAAGTAACTTTACCATTTTATTTATTTTTTCTTATGATAGTCATCCTAATGGGTATGAAGTATAGCTCATTGTTCTTTTGATTTGCATTTCCTTCATTAATAGTGATGCTATGCATCTTTTCATGAGTTGCTAGCCATTTGTGTATATTCTTTGGAGAAATGTCTATTCAAGACTTCAGCCCATTTTTAAAATGGGGTCTTTTGTCATTGAGTTATAGGAGTTTTCTATTTCTTGGATACTGATCCTTTATCAAACATTTAATTTGCAAATATCTTCTTCCATTCCATGAGCTGTGTTTTTACTCTGTTTACATTGAATTTTGATGTACAATATTTTTTGAAATTTTCATGAAGTTTAATTTGTCTATTTTTTCTTTTGTTGCCTCTGCCCTTTGAGTCTTATCCAAGAAATTATTGCCAAATCTGATGTTGTGTCATTTTTGTACTATTTTTTTCCTAAGAGTTTTGTAGTTTTCAGCCTTAAATTTAAGTATTTGATCCATTTTGAGTTAATTTTGATATTTGACATTGCTTTGATTACTGTAGCTTTATAGTAAGTTTTGAAATTTGGAAGTATGAGTCTTTCTGCTTTGTGCTTTTTCAAGATGGTTTTGATTATTTGGGGCCTCTTGAAATTCTGTATTAATTTAAGAATAGGTTTTTCTATTTCTTTAAAAATGCCATTAGGATTTTGATAGGGACTGCATTGAATCTGTAGACTACTTTGGGTCGTATTAACATCTTAATAATATTAAGTCTCCTAATCCATAAGCATAGGATGTGTATCCCTTTTATTTCTTCTTTACTTTATTTCAGTAATGTTTTGTAGTTTTCACTGTACAAGTACTTTACCTCCTTGGTTAAATTAATTCCTAAGTATTTTATTATTTTTGATGCTATTGTGAATGGAATTCTTTTATACTTTCATTTTTAGATTGTTCATTGTGAGGGTATAAAAACGGAATTGATTTTTGCATGTTGACTTTATATCTTGCTACTTTGCTGAATTGATTTATTAGCTTTAACAGGTTTTTTTGTGAAATCTTTAGGAAATTCTACATATAAAATTATATTATCTGTAAACAGAGATAATTTCCCTTTTACTTTTTCAGGTTGAATACCTTTCTTTCTTTCTCATGACTAACTGCTCTGGCTAGAATTTCCAGTATGATGTTGAATAGAAGTGGTCAAAGTGGACATTTTTGTCTTATTCCTGACCTTAGAGTAAAAGACCATAGTCTTTAATCATTGAGCATAATGTTTGCTATGCTTTTTTATATACAGTTTTTATTATGTTAAGATAGTTTCCTTCTATTTCTAGTTGATTTTTTATCATAAGTGTTAAATTTTATCAAATGATTTTCTGTATCAATTGAGATGATCATATACTTTTTTCCTTCATGCTGCTAATGTGGTATATTATACTTACTGATTTTTGTGTGTTATACACAACATTGCATTCCAAAAACAAATCTCACTTGGTCATGGTATATAGTCCTTTTAATTTGCTGCTGAATTCAATTTGCTAGTATTTTGTCAAGAATTTTCAGTTCATGTTCAGAAGGAATACCAGTCTGTGGTTTTCTTATTATGTCTTTCTCTGACTTTGATATCAGAGTAATGCTGGCTTTATAGAATGAGTTAGGAAGTGCTTCCTTCTCTTCAAGTTTTTGGAAAAGTTTGTGAAGGATTGGTATTAGTTTTTCTTTAATGTTTGATAGAAATCACCTGTAAAGCCATGAAGTCCAGAGCCTTTCTCTGTGAGATTTTTGATTACTGA